ATCATTTCAACATATAAAATAATATAAACTTAAAAATTTACACTGGAAACGAAAATGTGACGCGAACTACATCTTTGGTTGGGTTTTCAATTTACTTTATAATATACTCAATCTACTATTAAAATATATTGTAATAATTATATCTCTACATTATTTTCTTTTAAAGTCTCACTTTCAAACTGGCTAACACATATATGATTCTCAACTTCTGAGAAACCTTCTTCTTCTTAGAGTACCGTTTCCCTACGGATATTGTCATAATTTTATTTTTGAACTTGCTGCTCTAAATAAATCAATCGATCTGCATTGATACCATTCACGTAAATTTTTCAACCAAGAATTCTGCCCTCGGCAGATCGTCTTCCTTGAATTCCCTGTATTATGGATCTTAAAATTTCATATTTTGGTTCTCTCAGCACGTGGAACAGGTACTCCAGTTATTTTGTTTATACAGTGGTGATTAGTTCTGTTGTACAGTATTCATAATTATTGATATTAGTGTTTCATGTCATACTCTATCGAGAGCTTTTTTTTAGTCGACAAAGCAAAAGTGTAGGTCAACGTTTACATCACGACATCGCTGAATCAGTATGTTGATGGCAAATAGTACTTCTTGAGTACCCATTCCATTTCGAAAACCGACCTGCGTCTCGCTAATCTCCTCTAACTTTTCATAGATTCGCTAATGTATTACTTTAAGCAGTACTTGTAAAGTATGACTCATAAGGCTCAGTGTTCGATAGTCAGAGTAATCTTTTACTGCTTGTTTTTTAGGGATGGTTATAAACGATAACTTCAGCTACTCTTGCAATATTATTCTCGTATCGTCCACCGAGTTGAATAAATCTGCTAAAACTTTGAGTTTTCCCTGTTCTACTAGTTCTAACATTTCTTCTGGTTTTGAGAAACCACTTGTCCTTGATTACCTCGAAAGTCCAAAAAAGCATGAAACATCCAATTTCTTGAAACTATCTAAATTATTGTATTTCTTAAAATGGATATACATTTCGTAATTTTATAACAAAAGCTAGAGATGACAGCTTTAATTTATTACGGTGCACTCTACACACTTTCAAAACTATCGGGACAGCCAAAGTGGCTCTCTTATACATACCGGAGTTTTGTCCCTATAAACACAGAACTGCGCAGTAACTAACCAGACGTCGAGATAATCGCAAATACAGGTTAGCGTCGAAGATACCGATTCCCCGTTGAACGCGTCTACAGCGATCATCATCTTTTTCTACCACATACAGTATTCAAAAGGTAAGTGAGTTCTTTCGGAATTGACAATAATTTATGAGTTATGCCCAAGTGTTTTCTTATTTTTAACCATATAAATATATATATATATATATATATATATATATATAAATATATATATAATATATATAAATATATATATATATATATATATATAAATATATATATATTTATATATATATATATATATATATATATATATATATAAATATATATATATATTTATATATATATATATATATATATATATATATATATATATATATATGATAATCACTAAGTTCTCGGGAAGAACAGCGTTCAAGAGTGATGATACGGTTCCGTTCGAGTTCGGGGTCTCAATCACGGCGTGTGACGCCATGTTACCTATCCAACGGTAACTTAAACATCACAAATTATAACTACTAATAATGTAAAACAACTACAAATTTAAAACATTTAAAGGGTTTTGACCCATATATTTTGGTAGCTACTAGCATGTACAACCGTTTGCACTGATGATGGATTGATTAATCCGAAAACGTTTTGCAATGTGTTTGTGATAGTCCGTTTGGGGCATTTTTATATACCTTTTATAAAGGATTTTAAACAACATTTATTTTATATACTTACTCAGGTTTCTTCATATAATCAAATAGAAGTATAAATCAGAAAATAAGAAAATCAAACAGACAACACCAAATTATTGACTTTAAAAATTAAGATGCCGAATTTCTATAGAGCAAAGATACGGAAATCAAATAGAGCTAAACCCCAAAATAAAATTTTGAACGTAGACCAAAGAAATCACCATAGATAAAATAAATTACTCTCTGACTTAAATTTAATAATAACTGAATCAAAAAAATTTAAATCAAAATACTAAACGTGGTTCCACATTTTTTTAACCATTTTAAAAATTAAATTGCTGGTAGCTGATATAAGTATTGTTTAAATTCTGAGATAATCTCAAATTGCCAACAAGCTGTGAATTTCAATTCCTGACCTAACCACTGACCTAGGAACCGAAACAAGTGACGATCGAGATTGTATTTCATAGAGCACTAGTTATTTTTGGAGGTCAATGTCATGGCAAGACTTGATTCTATTTATCTCGTTATTTATATATAATGTTATCTATCTGACACAGAACGTAAGAGCAGGTGGACAAACTGGCGGACTTCAGTAAATGCAAATCCATTTGACATTGGCGTGCGGCCAATTTTTAGATACTTCCAATTCTAAAGAATTATGCACATATTACACAAATATTTCTTTATTTATATTTTTATTCTAGTTTATACGTTAATATTTATTTATGATTGTTATTTAATTGTTTTTTGATACATTTAAATATCTTCGGGTTTGCTTGTGTGATTTTGGCTTTGTAGAAAAATATAGCATTTGCACATAGATTGAAGAATTCTACGACACCTTAGATAAATAATATTATCGATATCCACGTCATGAGAAAATAATTGCTTGAGGCCTTAATGCAAAAATTGGCAAAGAGCAATTTTTCCAGCCAACTATAGGATGTGAGAGCTTGAATGAAGAGTCAAATGATAACGGGTTGAGACTAATAAACTTTGCAAGCACCAAAAACATGATAGTGGAAGGAACAAGTTTTCCCCATATAATAATACACACAGGAACGTGACAATCACCTGATAACGAAACCATTACCCAGATAGATCACATCCTAATAGATACAAGGCATTCTTCAGACCTTATGGATGTCAGAAGCTACCGAGGTCCAAACATAGATAGTGACCAATTTCTTGTAATGAAAAAAAATCAGAGGCAGAATTTCAAACCTAAAGAAGGATAAACATATGAAACAAGAAAGAAGAATTATTGTGATAATTTGCGCATTGAAATCAGTACAGAAGATAAATAAATGAAGAAATAGAGAGCCTGAAAGGGGGAGGGAATGTAGAGGAATTGTGGACAGAATGTAGAAACATAATAAACTAAGAAGGCATCGAAAATATTGGGGAAAACCAAACCAGTTAGACAAAACGAATGGTTTGACGATAACAAAAATAGAGGATACCTAAAGACAAACCAAGCTAGATGCACAAGATGAGCAAAGGAGGAATACCGAGCCCTATGACGGGAAGAAAAAAGCTTACATAAAAAAAATACAATTTGAAGGAGTTAGAAACCATAGATTGGCTAAGAAACAAAAATTCGAAAGATCTACAGAAATGTAAAGAAAATGATTAAAAAGCTTATGAAAAGAATAGGAAGCTGTAAAGATGGAGAAGGAAATATCTAAAGTAATACGGCCCCAATTTTGGGTTGAATAGGTATGGGTTGGATAGGTTGAATTTTTCGACGCAAAATTTAACGGCCATTATATCGAAGAAGCGGATAACAGCGTAGCAGATTGAAATGATTGGAATCTATTTTATCCAAACGAAAGACCACCTACCACTGAAGAGGTTGCCCACGCCATTAAAAAGCTTAAAAATAGTAAAGCTCCAGGAACTGATCAAATGTGTAGTGAGCTCTACAAGAATGGTGGCGACGCCCTGCTACAAGCACTGCATAAACTTTTACTTCTTGTCTGGCAAAATGAGACTATAACCTGTGAATGGTCTCATGGCGTGATAGGCCCATTACATAAAAAAGGCGATCAGCTCCAGTGTGAAAACTACAGAGGTATTATCATGTTAACAACTGCTTACAAAATACTAGCACATATTCTCTACGAAAAAGTACAAGTTTACACAGTTGGCATAGTTGGAAAATACCAGGCCAGATTTTCTCCAGAAAAATCAACAATTGACCAGATTCACTCAATAAGACAGATTCTCGAGAAAACATTATAATTTAACATTGAAACCCATTATCTATTCGTGGACTTCAAAGCCACATACGACACTGTCAAGAGAATAGTACTCTACCAATCAATACGTTAGTTTGATATACCAGAAAAACTTATCCGATTAACGAGATTGACAATATCTAACATAAAAGCCAGCGTTAGGATATCGGGAGAAAATAGTCGATCCCTTGAGATAAAGGATAAACTCAGATAATAGGATGCCCTAACTTGCCTCCTATTTAACATGCTTTATAAAAGGCAGTCCAAGACACACGAATTAAAGACGGCGGTCTTTTTTACAATAGATCGATACAAATCTTAGCATACGAGCAAGCGAGATGTTGAACAATATTTCCTAGAATTGGAAACGGCGGCGAAACAGGTCGGTCTAGTCATCAACGAAGACAAAACAAGTACATGTAATTTACTAAGGATCCTATAGCAAATAAGGAACGGGAAACGGCATGTGGAAGTCATATCTTTGAAGAACGTGTTAACAGCTACACATACGCAAGTCTTTAATGAACGAGCAGGAGACATAAAACGAATTATTGACAACATGATGGCTAAAAAGCTAACGACAGGAACACCTATAGGAAGAAGAAGCAGAGGCGGAGTGCGAATTGGTTAGATGGAGTCGAGACCTACTTAGGGATATTAGATATCAGAAGATGGCAACACGTTCCCACAAACCGAACAGAATGGCGACTAATCCAGGATTCACAGAGGATTGTCGAGCCAAAGATGATGATGACATAGATTGAAGTCTAAATAATAGAGTTCCATGTATCACTATATTGCCAAATGCGAAGACAAGGTGAACAAGTCTCAGCTTTGTTATAGATGGCACCGCTGTCGATGAAGTTACTATTTTTTATGTTGACGCACTTTTTACAAAAGCAAATGCCAAATGGTGAAGAAAAATCTACACTAAAAATGAAGTTAGCATATTTAGTGATAAAAAACTATAACAAAACTACAACCTAAGAATATTTATCACAAGACACTAAGGCAGAGCAATGAAGTAAAAAATGATATAGAAAATTTTATATCTTCTCATGAATTCTTTGGACATATTGAACATCCCGCGAACGTATTCATATGTCTATTCATATCGACCACAGCTTTTCACAAATTGTTCGTAATTTACTCTATGATGACTTCTTAATACTTTTGTAGGTAATGCAGGTAAAGTGATCAAAGTAATCAGTATTTCAGTATTTGAAACTCTCCCTTTTATATATAACCGATTTTGAAAAATTCATTTTGTATAAAAACTAAAATGTTCAGTGTTTCTTTTAAATTAAAATGAGTAGCTTACCTGTATGCGTTCTCTGGTGAGCCTTTAAATGCGAACTCTTCGTATAAACCTTCTTACATCCGAGAAATTGGCACTTGTGTATTCGCCTTTTGCTATCCGGCGAATGGTCCAAACGGGAATGATGCTTTTGCGGCTGATGAGAAGACGTCGATATACTACTACCATTATTATTACTACTACTATTATTATTATTATTACTAACCGCGGGTCTAGACGGAACTACCGAAATATACCGAGTGAGACCAGATGCTCGCACTCGAACGATCGTGTTTCGATTGCTAATTCGCAATCCGCAAACGTCCAAATCACTCGCGCTCGAGCTTTCGTTACTTAAGCCCCCTTGGCCTGATTCTGGCGATGAGGGTGGCGTGAGGGTTGCTGGGTTTCGGGAAGAGAGGCGTAACTGTAGGTCACTGTCTTCATCGTCATCTTCGTCCTCCTGAAACAAAAATAAAACATTATTGTTATTGAACTAGCAAAATAAAACACTTTACATAGCAGAGATAAAGATAGTAAGCTCCATATGCTAGGAGTTAGTTATCCTTAGCTATTTATTATTTCCGTGTAAATACTACAGTACTTGTTACGAAAATTATAGTGGTGGGAAGATAAACTATTTTTATTGATCTAAGGATTTTTCTCTAACAATATCTAAGATTTTTTTCCATTGCTTTTGTAAGCGCCCATGTCTCACACCTACATATACATAAGAATCAGAAACATGGCACACTTTACCATTGGCATGATAAACACCACAAAGATCATATCGGAAGAAATAAATGTTGTTTGTAAACAGAAATTACTATGGCTTGATCAAATAAACAACGACTAACAACTCAAACTTTGCGTTCTGATGTATGGATCTGAGTGCTTTCTAGTACAGATGAATGGCGATGCAGACTTGCAATATTCGCGAGATAAAAAGTCTTATTCTTTTTCTACTTCCTCTTTATATGCAATTATGCTTCTTCATTGGAGGATTAATACCTATATGGAAAGTTGTCACTCCATCTTTTGCGCGGTTGTCCCATACTTATTTTGCCGATTCGTGACTTATCTCTTGCTATTTTGAGGAGACGGGTCTGCTTATGTGGTTATTCCATTCTTTTTTCTATTTTCCTACGTTTTTGTCCGTTACATTTTCTTCTAAGAAGAAAAAAGTCTTCGGAAAAACTAATAAATCCAATAAAAGAGAAAGAGACCTGAACTTTATGACATAACTTCTAGAACTACGCAATAAGTGCAAAGAAATAGCCGAAATCAAAGATATAATTATTATAATAAAAAATTAGTCCCTTGCAATAGGTAGCACATCTAGTCACAAGTCAAAACTACGTTGCTAACCAGGAAACTAGACGTCGAATTAAGAGACTAAGCTAACTGGTAACAGACTGTTAAACGTGCACCGAATGGAGAAAGGCTCAATTATGACCCTAGCACAAAGAATAACGGTCATGACAAGGAAAATTTAGACCATTTTTGCTTTGAATGAAAATATTGCTTGATTGAAATATTTCTTTTACTATTAATCAGCTAAAGATTCATAATGAACTGAAGACAAAATAAACTGCACTCAATCTACTAGGTACTCGCTTTGAAGACAGTTCCAGATCTCCAAGGTATGTCAGCGACCTAAACGATCGACTGCAACTTACCAGTGATCGAATTAAGGTTAGGTTCGATCAGAAATCCACTGCCGTTAGCTTCACGGAAGGTGATACAGTCGGGCTCTACCAACCAAAGAGAAGGAAAGGTCTGAGTCTCAAGTTGCAGCGGCCTTGGGAGGGGCTGTATCTGGTCACTAAGAGGATAAACGACCTTGTGTATAGGGTGCAATTAACGCCACGGAGTAAACCAAAGGTCGTTCCACTGGAGAGACTGTGTACTTATGAAGGGCAGAATCCTGGTCTATGTAGTTGCTGTTCGAAGCTAACAGCCTAATAGAAGGGGACGATGTTGTATCCCATACCCTTATTGTGACCCTGTGCTTTACCAAAGTAAAGAATTCTCGCTTCAATTCAAGAGAGCGAGAGAATTCTTTCATTCAAGAACACGCTTAGGCGGCCTTTGATTATGAATATTGGCGAATTTTTCTATAAGCGATATTTGTGCGAATTGTGAGCGATAATTACAAATGTAACTAGAAACAAGATATTTGTAATTGAGTGAGCTTTTGGAGTTCAATAAAGTTACGATAAACCACGGTGTCCTTTACTTCTAGTGGGTATAGACTAGATATTTTTGCATCTATGTATATATTTTTTATACGATGTAGAGAATATATAGACTTACATCATCATCTATTAATGGTTCCTGCTTAACCAATATGGCACATGAGAGGGCTCCGTCCCACGACATGGGGGAACTGGCTGAGGAAAATGCGTCGAAGTGGTTGTCGTTGAAATCGTAACCGTACCAAGTCCGGTCCACTTCTTGTGGAAGTTTCTTAAGTTTCATTTTTGGTTCGTCTTTCAGGTACCGTTCCATTTCATAACATGTCTGAAACAATAAAAAATATATAAATGCTACATCAAATCAGGTTAAAAAAAATAATGTAATATGCTTTACACTGTAAACTGTGTTAGTGCCACCTTCAATAAATCTAGTTGAATTTTATGAGCCCTAACAACTATATGTTGGAACAAGCAGTTATTTTGCGAATATAATGCCAATTAACTGAAATTCTTTTATTTAATTTTTTTATTGTAAATATGAAATTAACACCATTTTTTATGATGTTTGGAATTATTTTTGCGGCATAATTATATATTTTATATTGATTGTTATTTAATTAATTGTTTGATAATCAAAAACTACTGACAACAAAATATTGGAACACTTTTTGCTTTTCCTCAGGTTTCTTAAATTTTATCAGCCTGGCGAATTGAAATCAAACATACGAGTAGGAAGTGCGTTGTCAACAATAATTGTCAGGCGTCATTTGAGTGTGAATAAAGACAACTGTCAGTTTAATTGTCAATAGTATAGTATAACGACAATTGTCTTTTGTCGGAACTGGTATGCTAAAAGTTTTAAGAAACACAGTTCTGTACTCAGGCCACTTGTAGAATATATCATCATGTCAAGAAAATCGAATGAAAATCCCAAAAGTGCTAAATCTTATTTAAGACTCAATAGTATTCCACAGCAAACAATACAAAATACCTGAAAAAACCATTATTATTTCTTCAAAAGATGAATTAAGTCTGCAATGTATGTATATTGCACCCCAAAATTAACGCATAATTTTAAAAACCATGGTAAATTAAATAATTTTATTGTTTCGATTTTCTGCTAATATATTATTGTAACCCCCGGTTTATTGTAAAATTTATCGAAAGAAACGGTAAAAAATGCTGATGTTTTCACCATTTTTTGCAAAAAAATTAAAATCATGCTAATTGTGCTTCATTTTATTTCGAATTTAGTTGGGTTGGATTACATTGTGCTGAACGTTTAAAGGGGTTTTTCAAGTTTATTAAGTGTTTTTTCTTTGAAATGAACCACTAGCAGCAAGAAAACCGAAATTTGTCAGAAAGTGACTGTTTTAGAATCGTTACTCTTCGCGAAGAAGCATACACTCAAGTAGAACTCGCTGAACATTTTAACGTCACCCAGTCAACCATTTCAAGAGTGTCAACACGTTTTTCTGTTACTGGAATTAACTCCAGAAGACCCGGTCAATGCCGTAGAAGGGTTACAACTTCTAATCAAGACCGGTTTTTGGCACTTCGTATACTGAGACAAATGTTTGTTACCAGTACTTCTCTACAAAATGAATTTTTGGATTGTTGTAACTTTAGAATCAGCCAAAATACGATTAGTAGAAGACTTGCCGAAAACGACCTACACCCTGGAAGGCAACCAATTGACCAGCGACCATAGAAGGCAAAGATTGCATTTTGCTCGTGAACATGTTGATTGGAATAATGACTATTGGGAAAGAATATTGTTCACTGATGAATCCAGGTGGTGTCTTTTTTCTGATGACAGGAGAAACCGAGTGTATAGAAGGCCTGGAGAACGCTACACACAGTGTAACACCGTAGGGACTGTACAGTATGGCAGCGGCTCGGTAATGGTGTGGGGTGGGATCAATTTAGAGCCTCGTACGGAATTAGTTAGAATAGATCGCGATCGGCTTACATCGCCGAGGTATATAACAGACATTTTAGAAGAGCATATCGTGCCATTTGGACGATATATTGGGGATAATTTCATGCTTATGCAAGATAATGCCAAGCCACACACGGCAAGAATTGTGCAGCAGTATCGTCAGGAGGTTGAAATTCCTGCCATGGAATGGTCTGCGAAAAGTCCTGACCTCAACCCAATAGAACATGTTTGAGACATCATAGGCAGACGACTACGACAACTACCTAATGCACCAAACACGGCTAGATGAACTGTTTTTGTGGTTGGTTGAAATTTGGGATCAAATTGATCAAGAAATTATGCGTTAATTTCGGAGCGCAGTGTATGTATCAAGCAATCTGATCAAGTATCCGATTTTCTTATCGCAAGATGAGTCTAAATCAATCCGAAGTCTTTTAATTATTCTAGATCAATTATACTTTACGTCTAAACAAGGATATACCGCAAATCATTGTAAAAAGCCTAAGAACCCTCAAAAACTACCCCCATCTTCATCTTCCTGAACACTCTTTCACAAAAGGAGACTGAGTGTAAATTTCCCAATCAGAAATTAGCATCCCTTATAAACTGTTGAAGCTAAAGCATTTTTAGTTTAAGATACCACTACTTCCGTAGAAAATACCAGCTTTATTTCTCTTGATATCCATCAATACGGCAGTAAACGTGATATTGCTGAAAGTCTGACACTATTTCTAGTAACTTCGACGACGCTTTACATGATATAAAAAAGCACTGGAATAAAAGAATAAATTTCTTAAAAACTTAAACAGTTAAAAACCAATAAAAGTCACAAGAAAACCCCGAGTTATAATATAAAATTCTAACATTTTTTATTTATTTTAATTATTTTATTTATTATTTTTATAAACATAATTCCCCAACATACTGATACGCTACTGAATTCATGTGTTTCAATTTTTAAACTAAAAACGTTACACTTGAAATCGCGTTTTGAAAACTGTCCACTAAACTGCTGGCGCCACATTGGTTATACTATTTTCTTTTCAAAAACGCTAAATAAAGAATCTCAATGTTGCCTAAATCATACAATCTACTAATTTTAGGAATTAGAGAAAGTTGGGCATATGTGGTGATACTTCAGAGGCTAGTTGTGAATCTCTGTAAGGAAAGAAAGTCACTTAGGGTGAGGTGTAGTGAAGAACTACATCCTCTCACAAAAACTAAAAAAATCTTCTTTTTTTACTTCTAGAATTTGAAAAAGCGATAAAACGAAGAATATTTCGGCGTTGCGATCTAGGGAAACTCATAAATTAATGAAATCTTGCTTGGTTTTTTGTCAACCAATAATCCAGTTATATTACGATGAATACCGCAAAGTAGCATAGCAAAGCTGTTATTTTCTTACATTTTAATATTTTTGTAAAAAACTTTCAGATAATACCCTTGAAAAGAAACAATTTTAAAAACGTGTTTAAAATATTAAACATAAAAATCCCTCAATTTGTATTGTGAGTTTAACCCAAAGTTTACCCAAGCTTAATTCCAAAGTGGTAATCGAAACGTCAAAATAAACGTATTTTAAACAGAAACTGTGATTTATTCTCAATTAAAATAGTAACTAGTATTAAAATGTCACAAAACAAATAGCTTCAGAACAATATAAAGATAAATTATTTAACACGAAAAATTATGTCATTTAACCCCTGCACTCGAACGACATGTTTCCTTATCTAAAAACTCAATCAGTTGGCCCGTACTCCAGTAACTTAATTTATGTAAAAGATTCTAAATCTCACTGGCAAGATGTCTTACGATAATCTTTTAGACTCATATATTTTCTGAATATGCATTTGATGTTGAGCTGAGCATTTTTAAAATGTCAAATTCATGATTTAGACTTTCCTAATGTCTTCAATAAATTTCTTGTCCTTTTTAACAGTAGTACTTATTGCGAATGTATTCATTTTTATAATACGGTTAAAAGATGTAAGCAAGCAATAAAATACCAAAGAATAGCTTCTTTTATTAACTGTGCAATTTTTCTCGCTTGTAAACAAATAAAGTTGTCAACAGTTTTAACAGATTTCTTTAATTAAAGACCAGAGAAAGATATTTACGTCGAGAGTATTGAAAAGTAGACTAATGCAACACATTTCGTGACTAAAAATAATTTTCTCAGTGTGTGCATATAAAAAAAAAGAGAGCATATAAAATATAAATATAAAAATGTTTCTTTTCACTCGTTATTTTAGTTATCAATAGCTGTAATAGACCAGTGTCGAAGCCTTTAAAAAAGGTAAAAAGTAAAAAAAATTATAGTAGAATGAAACCCATTGGAAAAGGAAGATATATATATATATATATATATATATATATATATTATATATATATATATATATATATATATATATATATATATATATATATATATAGTCCCAAGATCCTAAGAGGAACATAGGGCTTCCACAAAGTGTCTCCAGTGAACTCTATTTCTGGCTAGTGCTTTGATTTCAAGCCAGGATTTTCCCATTTTTCTCCCTTCGTCCAGTACTGTCCTTCTCCAAGTTCCCTTAGGTCTGCCTACTTTCCGTCGGCCTTGGGGATTCCAATCCAGCGCTGTCCTGGCAATGTCATTTGGCGGTCTACGGAGTGTGTGGCCCAGCCATCTCCATTTTCTTCGCCTTATTTGCTTTATGACATTTTCTTGGTTGCTTTGGTTCCATAAATTTTCATTGGAGATTCGGTTAGGCCAAAATATACGAAGGATTTTTCGTAACGCTCTATTGATGCAAACTTGTAATTGGTGTACTATGGGTGCTGATATCTTCCACGTTTCGCAGCCATACAGTAATACAGCTTTTACATTTGTGTTGAAGATTTTTAATTTCGTTTTAGTTGGGTAAATCCTGGATTTCCATATGTTGTTAAGCATGTTGTAGGCGTTGCGAGCCTTATTTATTCTTTCATGTACATCACGCTCTGTACCCCCATTACAGTCAATTATGCTGCCCAGATATACAAATTCCGCTACTCTCTCAATTTTTTGGTCGTTGATCATAATAGGTTGGTTGTTTCTGGTACCAAATCGCATTTCTTTGGTTTTGTTGATGTTTATTTCTAGACCAACCTTCTTTGATTCTTCTTGTACTTTGTTTACTTGGAGTTGCATGTCCTGTTTTGTATGTGCTAGGAGGCATATATCATCAGCGTAATCTAGGTCTTCCAGTCTGTTTGTTAATCCCCGGTAAATTCCTCTATTAGAGTTTACCTTTGTTAGTACGGAGTCCAGTACAATGTTAAATAGTATGGGGGATAAAACACAGCCCTGCTTTACTCCGTTTAGCATAGCTATTGAGTCAGATGTTATGCCGTTGTGTAGGATTTTGCTGTCTGTGTCACTGTAGAGTTCTTTGATGAGATTTACTATTTTTTCTGGTATTCCTATTTCCTGCAGTGCTTTCCATATGGCCGTATGTGTGAGCGTGTCAAAAGCTCTCTTGAAGTCCACAAAGCACACAAAGAGAGGAGAGTTGAATTCCTGTGACTGTTCTACAATTATTCTTAGTGTGTTAATTTGGTCCACGCATGATCTGTTTGGTCTGAAACCGGCTTGTTCCTTCCTCAACATTGGTTCTACACTGTTTGATAGTCGGTTGTTTATAATTATTGCTGTTAATTTATTTATAGTATTCAGAAGTGTGATTCCTCTCCAGTTTTCGCAATATCTTCTGTCGCCCTTTTTTGGTATCTTTATTATTAATCCCGTTTTCCATTCTTTGCTTTTAACAACTCTGGTGGAATATTGTCAGGGCCGGCTGCTTTGTGTGCTTTCAGTTTTTCTATGGCCATTTCTATTTCTTGCGTTGTTGGTTCGTTGGTGTTAATTCTCAGTTGGATATTGGGTATTAGGTTTTCTGCGTCTTCTGGTGGTGTTGGGAGTGCACTTAGAGATTTGCTAAAATATTCATGCCATCTTTTGACTTGTTCCTGTGGCGTTGTAATATCTTCACCTGTAGCACTTTTTACAATTGGTTGGTGGGTAGTATATCTTTTATTGGCTAGTTGTTTAGTGATATTATATAATTGTCTCATGTTTTGATGTTCATCTTAGACTCGCGTTTCTTCGGCAAGATTTTCTGCCCACTTTCTTTTGTCTTTCTTTGCTGCCTTCTTGACAGCTTTATTCGCTTCTCTATAACTTTCTCTAAGTCGGTTCTTCTCTGCTTCTGTCTTGGAATTTAGTAATTCTAGATTAATGTGTTTGCGACGTTCTATTTTGTTCCATGTTTCTCTCGGAAAAGGAAGATAATATGCTAAAAATGAAAGAAAAAATAAATTCCACTCCATCCAAGGTTGGGAAGTGGGAGGGGGTGAGTTTTTAAGGGTAAAAATCGATTTATCGCGATTTTCGGCGAAAATACAAATGCTATGGAAAAAAGTTAAATGGCAAAGTTGTAGGAAACGAAAGGGTATAGTTAGCACCGACTTTCTATCGTCCGTCGGCAAATTCAAACAAAAATATAACTTCCAGATCATAGTTTACCACCTTTAGTCCAGACAAATTATTATATGCATTTAATATTTTTTTTGACTACCAAAAATGAGATGTTTTGACCAAATAATGCTTCAAATATAATGTGCAGTATAATTTTGAATTACCTTCCGCTAATGAACTTGCTTTTTTATCCTTAAAAGTAGAAAAAAGTTTCAATTATATTGCTTAATATTTCGTATAAATATAACCGTCTAACAATTTTAACTGTACTAATGCCCAAGTATCAATTTTCAAGTTTTAAACGGATTGATTTACGACGTTGCAATCCTGTTGTAAAAATACCGGCATGTGCCTTATCTAAGGGACAGGACTTGTAAATTTTTAGTTTAGTTGTATCTTCACAACTAGCTTTTTATAGATGTGCATTGTGCATTGCTTTAATTTTAAGTTGTGTTGAAATTTCATTGTGATTAGATATAATAATTTTAGTATTTTTTGTTGTTTGTTTTTTTGAAACTGTTTATTTGTTTATAAAGAAAATGTTTAGACCATGGGAAAAATCGCCTACAGTTTTTCGTGCATGGGAGCAAGAGAACCCAAGTAGTAGTAGAGAAAGTATAGTAGTCAACAATCTTTTAAGTGTAAGTGATACAAAAAACAATGACACTGAGACTGTAACTGTAGAAAAGTGTTTAAGACTTCCAAAGAAAAGAATTGTTTTGAATGAACAATCTAAGAGCATTTGTATGAACGTTTACAAAAATCTTCAAAATGATCCTGAAAATAGTTGTAAAGGCAGTATTATAAGAAAAGCAGCCTTTCTAACCGGAATTCCGTATTCTACTATGCGCGACATCGTGAAAAGTGGTGTTAAAAAGAGAAAAAGAAGATCGGATGCTGGAAAACCTAAACAAATTAATATCGTGACTGCTAAATGTTTAAGGAATTTGGTTTACGAGGAATACAAAAAAAATGTAATACCAACAATTGATATTATATACACCAAGCTTGTTGCGATGGGAAGGAGCTGCCCTAAAACCACTTTACGTAGGAGGCTGAAAAAACTTGGGTTCAAATACAAAATCGTTGATAAACGGGTGGCTATTATGGAAAGTAAGAGGATAGTACACTGGCGTTTAGATTATTTAAAAAAAATTCAAGAATATCGAGACCAACAGCGGACTATATATTATTTAGACGAGACATGGTATGACACGCATGATACCGCTAGTAAGGGTTGGACTGATGGTTCACTTCGGTGCCAGTTAAAAGGAGTACCTCCGAATAAAGGTTCTCGGATGATTATTGTGCACTGTGGATCTTCAAATGGTTGGGTGCCAAATGGGTTAATGCTTTGTGGAAAAAAAATAGAAAAATGTAGTGTAGATTATCATCAGAATATGAATTCTACTATATTCGAAGAGTGGTTTAAAAATACATTACTTCCCAATATAACACCGGGCAGTGTGATAGTTATGGACAATGCTAGTTACCACTCAAGGCTTCTCAAAAAAATTCCCAACAGTTCA